AGAGAGAGAGAGAGAGAGAGAGAGAATGAACATGGTTTACGAGCACTCAGCAAATGTAAACAGACAGTCCGGAAGTGACCTGACTGACCAGGTTTCTGCCGGAAGTCCGATAAGGAGCTGGATGCCGGCACAAAACGGAATCTTTCCCAAGAATTGCTCAGTAGATCTACCATACCTAATTTGGAGGAAACTTGATGAGATAAATTATGATTTTTTTCACTGAAAAACGTTGTTCCAGGGAACATCATATTAGAAATTAATTTGCAGTTTCCATAGACACTTCAGTTTTCGAAGTAGATCTGTGAAACAAGCCATTTTCTCACTAATTTCACCCCTGACACGAGGCGACCCCCATTCTTCAATCGCAAATATCTCGACTTCTATTTGATAGGCCCTATAGAAACCTATTTTCATGAAAAGCAATGCAAATGAACAAGCTGTTAAGACAAATACATCTTCAATTAATGCCCCCAGAATGACGAGCGCCTCATTCCACTGTGTTGTGACATATTTATGAGGTAAGAGGGGAGAACAATAGGAAAGTGGGTGAGAAATTAGAGGGGGGGGGGTGTTAAGTCAGTTCAAGTGGGTAGACACCGAGTCGTTTATCTGCCACAACAGCAACAACAACAGCGAAGCATCTTCAGCTGTGTGCGTCATACGAGGAGGAGCAGTGGGGAAAACCCACTTTACAGCATAGAGCGCTTTGTGAGCGACGGCGGTGGGTGTCTCACGCAAATCAACACAATGTAGCACATTGTAGGCTTTTCAGGGGACGGGCTGATTTGACCATGCCAACCAAAGACGTCGTAGACTGAGTGGGTAGCTAGATGCCAGCTAAATAAAATAATAAATAAATAACGGAAGAAATTCGAAAAAAATCGATTTCCCAACGCGGGGTTTGAAATCACGTACTTTTATTGCAATATGAAACAGCGTAACACAAGCACATCGATGTAATCAAGATCAGTTAGAGCAGGAAAATATCAAGATAAACAGACAGAAAGACTAAAAAAAGGAAAGAAAAACAGGTACGACCTATCAGTGGCGCCTTCCAACCATCGCCAAAGTACACTCATGGTACCTATAGATCTATCATTATATCACCGTATCTTAAAGTGCGCACAGCTAGTTGTTTCGCTTTTAAAAAAATTCTGTTTAAGGGTAAGAGTTTTACGGCATCCGAGACACAAGTAGGTCATTTAAGTGCCGAAGATTAGAGGTGTTACAAGACAGCCACAGGCAAAGAAAAGGAGAAGGACAGCGAAGGGCGATAGATGATTCATAGTAAAGAAGGAGCAAAACACATCAAAGCACCCGCCAACCACCCGCCACGGACAGTTCGATAGTTCAAAGACTCCGTCATACGTCACTTTTCAAAATGGCGTACGGCGGAGTCTTACATAATCTATTGTCGTTATCTCTCCTCCTTCATTTTTATCGTTGTTACTCTCTTGTAATACTTCTAATCTTCGACATACCTAATTATGTTCCAAGTGCCGTGCAAAATGCTTACTAAAACAAAAGAAAGAATATTCCTACTTTGCATTTAAGTTATAAACGTAAGTCAACTAGTCCACTGTAAAGAGTGTTTTCACAGGGCGGCAAGCGGGAGTTAAGTACAGTATGGTGGGAAAGTCTCCTCAGGAGAAGCATGTCCACAAAAATAATACCAGTTGTCCACACAGAAAGACATGCTTGTTGTTGATGATGAGAGATAAAAATATACAGGGACACAATGACAACAGTTGACAACAGTGTCGGTAAAATATTAAGTAGATGTATGTATAATAAGGTCTTAGGGAAATAGGAAGAAGAGGGACAAAAATAGATGAAGACAGGAAAGACGTAGGACCTGCCGGGAAACGCCTGTTTTTTTGTTTAGTTTGCTTTTTCTTTCTATTTTGTTTGGTTTCAACTAGAATTTGACGGAACTTGCAACACAAACGTGTCATGTAGGTCTCCAAGATTAGGAGAATTACTACAGATTTGTTGGTTTGTTTGTTTGTCCGAAGAAAGAGACGCATATCGACACAATAACGGTCATTTAGTGCTGGCGAAAAAAGTAAGATAGGACAAACAGAAACCAACCATTTTTTTTTTTGGCCTCATGCTCTGACTCAGAAATTGAGGAACTGCCAAACACATCCTCAGTCCACCATACACATGAAAGTACGTGAAGCCTTCATAGCAAAAGGCGGGCGGTAAGTGGGTGCCATAAACAGGCCGGCTGAGCGGGATTTTACGGCTCTTCCGACACTACGGGGCCATCAAAGTGTCAGGAAATAGTTCATGATAAAAGCAACCGACACTGTACAGAAGAAAGAGGGTGAAAGAAGTGAATGATCTATGGCAACACACACACACACA